TGAATTACCTGTGCAATAATTTTCCGGTTTCCTGCTCAGATTGAATTACCCTCAACCGAAATTCAGACGTGGCGCTTAAAATGTACCGAATGGGTCCAGAAACAAGATACATCTCGTAACAAGCCTAGCCAGACGACCTCCTAACCGGTTCAAAGTCGATTGATAGCCAAACTAACTGAGCACTGATGATGTCTGCTCGTTTGGTGACGAAAAGCCTGTAGGCTAATTGTCAGGCTCAACCAACAGCCGCCTGATCAACACTCAGTACACCGATTCTTCGATGAATGTTATTCAATGAGTTGTCCATAGGTCTCCAAGGCAGAAGATTGGTCAAACTCGCAAAAATTGGACACTGTAGTTGGCTCCATAATCACCTATGAGAGTGTGAAAGTTGCGAGCTTACAGCACCCCACAATGGGAAATTCCGTTTCAGTATAGCTGAGATTGTTTTGCCTGAAATAAACCAGTGTTTTAACCTTGAATCCTTAAAAAACATCAAAAGAGCTGACTGCGTAAGTACCCAAGGCAGGGGGCGGATTCGCGAATTCGAATGCAGTCTTGCCACACCAATGTTAGTTCCACCATTCAGCGGCTCTTATGATAGGAATCATTTCATATATCACGATCTATGTTTTCAACCAGGACAAACTTTTTTGGAAGTAAGCCAAACTAAAGTTGGTTCTCGGAGGCTTCTGCAAGGAAAGAACCCCTAAAGTTATATTATCCTTTACAGTTACAGTGTGCCCCCAGAACTGAAGAACCTATGTAAGCTATGCATATGTTACGCAGGCTTCACTCTACCTTTTAGAATTCAGCTTGAAATTCTAAGTTTCCCAACTACATCTCGTTGTCTATATTTTCTGTCGCGAAGAGACTGGACCTTACCGTGGTGTGACGGTTTGCGCACCTCAGCGATCCATTGAACTGTACTAGGGAGTGCCCCCATGACACTCACAGAGTCTCTCATACCAGGTTGGTCCATGGGTAGAGGTCTGACGAACACAATCTCCTGGCCCTCCAGGTTGGGGGTTAGGACATGCCGCGACTTGTTCCGTAGAAATGGTAATGCATTTGCATTTCCCCGCCAAACACCGCTGCCTTGTGGTTAGGCTTTTGAGCCAAAGGTTTTGGTTGCGGACTCTAATCGTCCTCCTGTCTAGGTGTGGGCGCCCTCGTACAATCATGACTTT